ACCTTGGTATTCCCCAAGATCTATAGCCACTTCATCACCAGGATATCAGTGCTCCCTAACTCCAATGGGAGAAAATCCTCCCTCATATGGATTCCCTGAATAGTCAACACTATTCCCCTACATACTCCTCTACCCATCTCCACCTTCCCCATGCCCATCATCACCCCATAGCCCCTGGTATCCATTAATTTCACCCCTAACATATCTATAATCTAATTGGAGATGAAATTGTAGGTTTCCCCACTATTGATCAGCACCACCACCTCCCTGCTAGCTATTTCTCCCCTCACTTTCATGGTGTGATTTGGGTTGAATCTTACCATTGAGTTTAGAGAGACTTCCTCCATGTCTAGATGCAGTTTCTCCTCTTCCTCCCCCACTAGCCCACTCTCACCTCTCTCTTTAGCTTCCTCGTCATCATAGACGGTGAGAACCTGAAGAGTTCAGTCCTTACACCTATGCCCCGGCGTGTACTTCTCATCATATCTGAAGCACAATTCCCTTGCCCTCTTCTCCTGCAACTCCTCCCAATAAGCTTCTTGAAAATTTTCCCATATCCCTCTCCTCCAGACTTCTCCTTTGGTACTTCATGCAAACCTCCTGGTGTAACTCCTTTGGGGGCTAGAAAAGTGGTGGTCATCCTGTATGATCCCTCAGAGATACTGCCTCTAGTCCCCCTCTCCATATGCTTTTGATCCTCAACCAACTGTGCCAACTCCCTGGCCTTTCCCAAGTTGTGCTGCCTCATCACTCTAACAACTGCTCTGATCTCGATCTGGTTTGAACCCCTTCATGTAGTTCCCATCTAGTACGGTCTCAAAAAGCCGATCTAGCCTGCTAGCTAGGTACTCAAACCAATTACGGTACTCTACTACGGTCCCCTCCTCTATCAGGGCGAAGAACTGCTTATAGAAGTCCCCTTCCCTACTTGTTCGAAAATGTTCTAGTAAGCTGTCCTTGAACTCTCTCCAACTCCGGATTGGTCGCCTCAAGTCCCTCCACTGATACCAGGCCAGTCCTTTTCCTTCAAAACACAATCCATCTATTGTTAATTTCTCCTCCTCCGTAAGCCCGTTGACCGCAAAGTATTGCTCTACCTTGTAGATCCACCCATGTGCATCCTCGCCCTCAAAGATGGGCATCTTCGAGGAATGGGCATTTTCAACAATCCACTGTAGCCGCCCATTCCTCGAAGAGGAGGTGCTCCTTAATTTTCATGCTCTTCCCTTCGGCGATCGCAATCCTCCCTTCCCATTGCAAAATCAACACTCCTTCGTTCGTACACAATGCTTCTCTCCCCCCTAGAAAGCGGCTCTAGCAGAGGCATCTCATCTTCTCCCTCCAGGATCTCTACTTCCGGATTTTCCATTTCCCTAAACGAGTTAGGGTTTCCACCTCTCACATGGTTGCTAATGGTTTCCTTCGCTTCAGATGTCGCAAGATTAGGTTTGGCTTCAAGTAGTTTCTTCAACATGTACAAATGTACTCCATGATGACAAATCTCTCATCCATCTTTTCATGGACGAATGAAAACTGATTCTGAAAATCAGAAATTTTCTCTTAAAAAATTTGATTTTAGTTGACCTAATTCTCACCTCAAAACTTCCACTTTCCTTCCAGCTATTGGTTCCCCTTAAATCGACGTGGTATGATACCAATTTGATAGAAAACAACCACCAATAGTGTAGAAATTTCAGCAAAACGAAGCAGATTTTTCAAGCTTTGTAGAGAATAAGAGGAGTAATCACTTTAGTTCAACAATAAAAGAATTTATCAACAAATCGATACATGAATCTTTAATTCGAGAGGAAGATTCAACTCTCCAAATCTCTATCCAAAGCCTAGAGCCCACAACCAAAACCTAGATCTCAAATTCAGCCCCCAAATTCAAGATAACTCTAACACTAGTCAAAAGAAAATTACTTAAAGAAAAATACAATTAAGTAATGCCTAAACAGCCCCCAATTTTGAGTTCTACCTCCTAAACCCTTGCTCTAATCAATGAGTAGGCCCCACTCCTGTTCTACCCCACCCCCACCCCCCTTTGGGCCCACCTTCTGTAGCAGTGAATCGGTCCAGGAGGGACCGGTTCAGCCAGCCCAGCTGGTATAATATCGACCTAATAAAATATGTTATACTTTTAGTGGCATGATGTCACATAATACTTGATCTTTGTAAAATTTTTCGATTGTGAGTATCTCTCCTCCTTTGAACCATGATATCTTGTAAGGCTTGGTAAGGGTTTTGATTTTAATTAAGTTTATCAACTATGAGTTGCGACACAAAATTTTCCGAATACCACTATCAATCATGAGGGTACATAATTTTCCTCCTATAGTACGAGTGGTTCGAAAAGTATTCCTTCTGGGCCATTTATCTCTAGCATCAATTCTGGTGATCAAGACTCAACGAATAATTAAGTAATGATACCCTTGGTCATCATCAACATTAATTGTTTCCAACTCTTCCTCATTTTTTTGTTTAGACTTAACCTCTTTTGAATTTTCATTGTTATCTTCTTGTTCAATGTAATTGGTAAGGGGGTTATTTTTTCTATAGGCTGCTGATAGATGATCGTACAAGCCACACTTATAGCAGGGTCCAATTGTTTTTGCTTCTATCAATCCTTTTCCTTTTTCATTAACTTGGGTTTCATTAGGTTTTGTTCTTGGATTTGGATTTGATGAAGTTGACCCTATGACTATTGGTGAATTTTGAGCTTTACTTCCTAGTGATTGCTTAGGTTTAGTTGAATCAAATTTTTTATTGTTTATCGTTGTTGTTGTTTTTCCATTTTCAATGCAACGATAGCCCTCATCGAGTTTGATTACATGATGAAGATTTAGTTGATTTTGGATTGACCATTTTAGTTCATTGATGTATCGAGTTATTGTTCGTTCCTCAGTTTCATTTAGATCGTTTCGGGATTGTAGTTTAAAAAAAACCTTCAGTATACTCTTCTTTGGATCGTTTTAGAACTTCTAAATTTATTATTTAAATGTTGCCTTCTTCTAATGAATAAATTCTCATAATTTTTTCTAAGTTTTTCAAACTAAACATAGGGTTTTCAATAAAATATAATTTAATTATTTACTAAAGATTTGAGTTATCTTGCTTGACATGACCTGTTGCATGTTGATCAATTTCTTACCCAATTTCTTTCAGGGTTGGACAATTTCATCCCTTGTTGAACGACGAAGACGGCTTTGGCCGCTCTCTTAATATCTTTCCCATGATCTCATTCGTTCTTTTTCTCCTTCTCTTGCCTTCTGTCTCCATCTTCCTCTCTTTCCCACTCTAACTCTCTCTGTCTCCGTTTCTCACTGATGTAGAACGGGTGGGGTGGGGGGGAAATTTGAAAATTAAAATTAAATGAGAAAAAGGGGTGGTTAATTAAATCCCATAATTGGATATCCAATTAAGGAATTAAATAACTAGGGGGGGAGGCATTAAGAGTGGCTTGGGAGTTTATGGAGGGAGATTTAAATGCTTACCAAGTGGGGAACCTTAAATTAGGGAGAAATATTTAAATCAAATCCTATTTGAATTTAAAATATGTTTGATATGAATACTTTCCTAAAATAAAATAACTAAATTAGAGAAATGATTTAAAATTTAAATACATTTGAATTTAAATTCAAATTCCTTCCATATTAAAACACATCCATAATAGGAAAGAAGGCTATCAAGCAAGATTGACTCCAATCAAGAGCAAAAGGGGAAGGGGCAACGGGTAGAGAGAGAAGGGGCCGGTTATGGGTGGAAAGAAAAAGGAAATTAATCAAGTCTTCAATTAAGGGATATAATTTAATCAAATAAAATTCCAAATTGATTGAAATTTGATTTGAAGAATTTTCCAAAAATAGATCTAGTAATTTAGGAAAGGTTTTGAATTTCAAACTAATTGGATTTGAATTCAAAATTCTTTTCAAATTATCTTCATTCTAATTTAGGAAAACGAAGGGGAATGAAGGAGGGAAGAGGCTAGGGGTGAGGTAGTTGGCCGGCTATGGAGGTGGAGGAGTTTATGGCCGGCGGTTGATATGAATAAAGTGGATGAGGCTTGTGGCTTTGGAGGGGTTTGTGGGAGAATCGGCCGGTGGCAAGTGGGAGATTTTGGTCGACGGTTAAGGGAGGAGGAGAAAAAAATTTAGGGAAAGAAAGATACAACTGTGAGCCCGGACACATCTTGCAGCTGACGGGTAATACGTTGTCATTCTCCAAGGGACTTCAAGTCACGAACCCGGACCTATCCCGTGGTTGGTGGAAGCTCCGATTCCCTCCAATAGAAATCTCACCCAAGTTCTCTCCAAAGAACACAAGTGCAAACTTTTATTTATTTATTAATAATCCATCCTCGTCTAATACAAGAGTAAGGGTCTCTATATTTAAGCCTTAAAAGAAACTAAAAGACAACTTTGCCCCTTGGGCTTACATAAGACAAGACTCTTAAATAAGGGTAAAAATGAGATGCAAAATTAAATCAAAATACAATTAATAAACTAAGATAAAAAAAGGGGTGATCTCGATTGTCGATCTTCGTCTCTTACATTGAGTAACGTCCACCGTTGGATGTCCGCATCACTCTCTTGCTTTTTCTCTCTATGGATCGTTCTCGACTTCACCATTTAGCTCCTGTCTTTAGCCCTCTTTTGACTTTAAAGGGTGGACATTTGACTTTTTTTTTTTTCTACGGGATGTAATAATCTTCGCTTTAAAAATTTCAACCTCAAAATTTATATAATTGGATGAAAATATGGGTTTTTAGATAAAACTACAACAAAATGCTTGAAGAAATTGCATCAACCTATTTTATCTTTCGTACTAAAAAAGTGTAAAATGATTCTCCATGGATGTTTCAGTGGATGCAGGGTGATGATAGTCATGCCTGAAATCTCAAACTGTTTTTGTTCCCCAATATTTTTCTTCTGTAACATCACTATATTAACAGTCAGTCGTCATTTCTGTTTTATCAATTGTAATGTGCTCTTTGTTGGCAGGTCATCACCGAAATCCACAAACAGAATCTTTTTTGCAGTTTTTAGAGCTTCCATATCTTCTTGATATCACAGATGAACTCAGCACACCAAAAAGAATCTCAGAATTTTCCAGCCCCTTAGGTACATCTTATATGTATTTTCTTATGTTCATTTTGAATCCATGTTTTTGTTGTTTTTCGTATAACGTCTGCATGACTATGTAGTTTGCCATTTTCATATGCAATATGTGATCTCATTTGTAGAAACAGTTAATGTTGTTTATGGGGTTGATAAAGAAGATATTTTTTTATTGCTTGAAACTTTTAACTCATGCAAATCTTTGAGAGACAACAAGATCGGAGTTGGATCTAATTGGTTTGGGTGAACTGGTGTCACTTGGATAAAGGAGCCAACATCCAAAGCAAAGCTTGCTCTTTTTTTCTGTTCGGTAGACTTTATTTGTTGCTGTTGCCTGACATAGTTTTTAAGTTTATTGGAAATGTTAAGTTAACTTTGGCGTTAAATGTATTTTTTGGAGCTACCTATATTGCATCTCCTGAATAAGGCAGATCTAACTTCCAAAAAAGAAAAAAAAAAGAATAAGGCAGATTCACTTACCAATCTACACTTAAGTAGTTATTGACATTTGACAAATTGATCTCCGATAATTATGAAGCCACTAAGCTTTTTCGTTGATTTCCCTCACCCACTTGGGAGGCTTCCTCCCAGTTCATCACTACTACCCATGATACCATGAGCTTCCATGGGGATTGCTATCTTCAGCATTGTTGCTTTCAAGCCCACTATTATTTAAGTGATTAAAAAAAGCGGGGGATGATGGGACCTAAAATAATCATTAATAAATGTGATGAAATATTCACCCACCTCATTCTTCATGGGTGGAGTTATTGATGATTATAATTTTATATTTTTTATATTATTATTATTTATTTATTATTAAAATAGGATTATAATTAATATTTTTTATTCTTTTATTATTATTATTATTATTTTTAAAGGGTTGGTGAAGCAAGTCAACCTTAGATCATCCATAAATTATGCCGGTCATACGTCTTGATAAACATACAGTGTCCATCAATTAAAAGATGTGTTTGGCATACATAGCCAACCGACCCTTTTTTATAATTTTTATTATTTTATTGATCCCCTTATAGTTCTAACTTTTATATTGAAATAAATTAAATTTGGATATTATAATCAAAATTTTATCGTGATAAATTTAAAATTTTATAATTTATTTTAAGATCAATGCATGTAATATAAGTTGAAATAGCTTTATTACGAAATAGAATTAGAGAATAGTGAATGAACGATATTTTAATCACTTATATTGAGAAAATAAAAATATTTGATTGTATTGATAACAAAATACTCATTTGACTCTTTTAGAATATAAAGAGTATGTGCTATAAATTATTGGTTTTTTTATAATCTTATTTTTTGTCTTTTTGAAATAAAAAATTTAAATGATTTTTTTGAAAGCTGCCAATGCTGGCCTCAAGCGAAATAAGAAAAAAAAAATGAGAGAAAATCTGAAACATTTAATTGGTGCCCCATCAGAAAAAAATTCTGACTTGAAAATTTGCAAGTCTACAGATATTTGAATGTTTGTTTGGTTTTTTTCATCTTTTGTAAGGAAATAGCTCTTAGTGATTTTACCTTCTAGAAAGGATTGACAAATAGCATAGGGTTACCTTTAAAATCTCCTAAAAAAGCCGTATTTTGTAAGTTTTCAATTTTGTTTACGTTAATATGATCTAGTAAGATGTCACAGATATGTATCATCATGATGAAAAACTGTCTTTTGGATATTGATCTAGCAGTTTTGAATATTTCAATGTTCGACTGTGAGTTAGGAATATGTTTTGAGAAACAAAGTCTATCTTCTAGATTTATAGCATGACTTTTTAAATAATTTTTCAAAATAATAATCTGTGTTACTATTGATATAAATTCCAAACAATTATTCACGTAACTTATAAATATAAATTACATTTCTTTTAACATCAGGAATGCAATAAACATTGTTCAAAACAAGAAATTATTATTTGTATATCCAATCTAATTGCCACTGCTATTTGCTGAAATCAGAGCTCCATTATCCCTCACATTGTGAAGTACCCATCGGCTAACTCATTTGAAGAACTAAGTGCCAACAAAAATAACAAACATGATTAGTTTCTATTGAATCAATTGTTCAGAAGGAGAAATCATTTTATGCTAAACATGCTTCTAGAACAATAAAATCTTATTTTCTTTGATTCTTCTTCTACTTAAGCTCCTTGAAGTACTTTTTATAATTTCTCTTCCAATTATCAACCTGGTCCTAAGGAAAATATTTTCCTTTGACCTCTTCTTATTCCTTTTAACAAATTTCTTCTTGCCTTTAAATTTAGCATTCTAATTTTTTTCCCACTTGTCATTTAGCAGAGATAGTGATATTTTCGGCAACATTTACTTCTGCATCCTTTATCGTAAGAATGGACTAAAAGACTTGACGTTTATTCAAGTGTTCAGTCAAATTCAGTTTCATTTGTTCATTATGCAAATTGGCTTACTAGATAAATGGAGGAGATTGAGTTTCTAAGATCATCCCCACTTGGGTAGCCTCATCTATTATTTGTCCAGGAGATTTCTGTTCTTTTTGCTTTTGGCTGTCGGCTTCAACTCCAATATAGGATAGATTTTTTCTGGTATAGGTAATCCGCGATCTACATCATTTTGCACTCAAACTCCTTGTCACTGGACTTGTTCTTCTTCAACTTCCCATCATTTTTAACATAATTGCTCACATTTATCGCTTAAGACCTCAGTGACCATCTTTGATAGAGGTTCTTAGGAAAAAGAGTGCACGTGAGAGCAATAATGAGGCAAAATAATGAAAAATAAAAATTGCAGTAATAGATAAGAATTTACGTCATTCATTGAAGTTAGTTTATGTCCACAACTGCACATGAGAATTGCTTTTATTTTATCAAAGAAGTGTATAGGATATCAATATTTTCCACTCAAATATTTTCGTAACTTTTTTATAATCTAGTCGTCAATCTTTCTACCCGTTTCTTTCTTAAATCCTCTCCTTTCTTCTATTTCAACAAAATCTAACTTCAAAGGCTTAAAACAAACCTAATAGACAATATATATAGCTACAACAGAGGATTCACTATGGCCACCTGCAAACTGGTGACACTGAGAAGTTCTTTGCTATCAACTTCCAAGCCACTCATCTCTACTCCGATGTCAAAGAGACCCATTGACAGCTGATAGCCAGTGCCAACAACAGAGGATTCACTATGACCACATTTCGACCTGCCAATCTAGGAATTGGCGGCCATGTTTCTACCTGCTGACCTAGGAGCCTCATTAACTGCTAGCTCTGAGGAAGAGAAAACCACTGATTGCCAAAGAACTCCTGCTGGCCTTCGTCTAGAACCAAAATTTTATTTCCAGACACTTATTCTAAGAATGTATGGCACTTAAATTTAGACTCTCCATGACACCATCCTCAATACCAATAGAGAAACTGCAGGAACTCTTGATCCCTTCTTTGTCTCCGGTCAGGGAGAACTCAAGGTTGCTTATTCTTGACCGGGCTGCAACCATGTGCTGAAGGTTTGGTATTTATAAATTATTGTGATCGGTTGTATAACAATAAATCAGATAACCGGCTGGGCTGAGGAACAAATTTGCTAAATAATTCTTGAACTAGCCCTTTGAAAAAGATTTTGTTCAAAACAAAAAATTTCAAAAACTGATTTTCAAACTCCAGATATTTAGTTATTAACCAGGGAATTGTTAAGAGAATTTAAACTTGCAAATTAGTCCAGGATTTTAGAGAGAGGTTACCCATGTTCAAATAACTGAATAGAGAAAAGGACCAAAATGGTCCTTTAACTATTTATGAAAGATCAATTTGATAGGAAATACTTGAGTTCGCAAGTAACCCTAAGGGTAATACCTGAGTTCGCAAGCAAACCTATCACCAATTGGTGAAAAACAGCGAGAATAATGCGAAATCTGGGTGAAAATAGCCCAAAACAATATATTGCGGTAGGAAAATTAAAGCCAAACAATAACGAAAACAAGATACAAGAGATCCTCAATTCGAGAGGAGGATCATCTCTCCCAAATCTCTAGACAAGAGAGTCTAGAGCTCAAGTCGCCAAGAAACACTAATTGAGAATCAATCAAAACATAATCATTCCCTAAACATCTCATGCTCTTAATACAAACACTTTCCTAATCTAATCTCCCTCCCAAGACCTAGCCACCCCTCCTTTTGAATTTGAAATCCCTTAGTCTAGTTGGGGCCCACCATGTGGGCGGGCAAGAGCAAGGGAGGCGGACATGTTCTGCCTCCTATAAACCTGAGCTGGCCCTTGGGCCGGCTGGGCCAGTTTAGAGTGAACCGGCCTAACACAAAATAGTCTCCGACTATATTAAAAGACTATTTTATTCCCTCAATTCCTTTAATGAGAATCAAAATAATCCCATCATAGGACTATTTTGATTCATTTCTAAAATCTTGAGGGGCCAAAATGATATTTTAATATAGTTGGGATCATTTTGGTCCTTCATAAAGAGTCAAGATATCATTTTGATCATTTTCTCTAGCTGAATATGTGTAAATTTAAAGTCCACTATTTATAATAAGTAGCTATATTGTTATTATTTTGGTGAAACACGAGTTCATTAAATTAAGAAATTAACATTAATTCAAGTAGGGTAAATACCAAGCATGGTTTTGTCACTGCTGAAGCTAGAAGAGATATTTATGGTATGCAGATTATTTGTAATGTTCATAAACATCCTATTAAGATATATACAATAATAACAAGTCTTTACTCGACTCTGTGGGGTCAGCTACATAAATCCTTTTTCTCCATTGTGTCCTGCTAAGAGTCAAATTCTCATCCAAATCTAATAAAGTAAGGTCATTTCTAATATTTTTCTAACCAGGTTTTTTTAGATCCTCTACCTTCTTTAACATAAGTCAAATCTAATACATCTAATTTCTAATCGGGTCATCGGAAGGCTGCTATTTTATGTGACCGAACCATCTAAGGCAACTCTATCTAATCTTATCCTCCATTAGAGCTACTTTAACCTTTTCACATATA